GTGTAACGTTCTGAATACAGGGTGTTTCTAAAATAAGTAGCAAGCGTGCAGAAGATGATAGGGCGTTATAAACCAAGAAAATACAATAAATTTTTAGTGGTCTGAAAGTCTACCATTTCCAAGAAAAACGTACAGTTAAGAATCAGTCCGGCCCTGGTATTACCACGTAAGGAAATACGACATTGCAACATCAACTACAGCATCCGTGTTGTGTCCTTTTTTTGCCTCTAGTATGTCTCTGACTAGACCTTCATGCTTGAGAAGGTATCCTTCCAACCTATCTCGCCTATTTCTTATTGACTTCCAATAAAGCAGTTATTTAATTAATTAATATATTGTTGTTTTTAGTAGCGTAGCAGTAATCTGTTGACATTTACTTTATTAGTCGTTCTACAACCGTCACTGTTTACATTTTTCGTTGAGGTAGTTGCTTAATTGTTACCGCAACTTCTCTATACGTTGCCAATTCACGCCCAGGGTCGGCTTCGGATTGCAACCACATCTGGTATTCGTTTATCTCTTAACCATACTACTTTACTCATCATGCGATTCCTTATTGCAGAACTAGGACAACCTAAACATCCGTTTTTATATATGCTTCCAATATTACAACTCTATCAAAAAAGAAACCGTATTATCCTAAAAATATCCGTCAAAAAAGAAATAAACAAAGCAAATCGGTGGCGAATATAACTCGGACCACTGGTGTGCCAGCTGAGTTCTCGTACTATTGAGCTAGTTGGCACTTTTTGCTAAATTAAATATCTCAATGGTACTACTATAGGAATAAATAGTCTCCGTATCGATTTCGTTCCGTTTTTGGTATAATTTTGCTCCGATTCCGTTCCGGAAAATGTTATTTCTAATTAATAAATACTGAAGCGATACTAAAGGGTAATCGTATTGGGAACAAGAACTCGAGACTTCTTTAGAGTAAAAATAGAACAACGGAACAAAAGGGCAGTGTGTGTCGAGTCTTAGGTACCACTAGAAAACAATGTGGGCCATTCCAATTTGTTAAATTTCTTCTGATTACAGCGAAATACTTACCTGAAGAATAAGTAATTAATTTATTCACCGTCAATGTCATATTAAATTAATTACACATGGGCCACTGGGGAGTTCGTCAGGCCGACGCAGTATGAAAATAAATTACTGAGGAAGAATTCTGTAATAAAGCTACGCGATGTGGTTTGGCTCTAATATCAAAATTAATTGTTTTTCTACATACTTGGACAGTTACTTGATTTAATAAAAGCTACTTAAATAATAATTTGGTTAATTTCAAGCAAGGTTATAATTTAAAAAAAAAATGTAGGTCGTTCGGTTACAGTACACCCTTTCTACCCTCGCCAATTAACAAACAATTGTTTTCACAAGGACAATGGCGCTTTAACTTAAATTCAAAGAAAATGTGAAAGATGAGAGGCGGGAAAATATATTCAACCACCTTTGTACCTAAAAAACGAATTGTACAAGAAAGAAAACGAAGTAAATTTGTTATTCCCTCTGAGGTTCGAGACGGGTCATGACAATAAAAAGGTTAACGACTACTGCGACCCGGATGATTCCCTTTCATAAACGGGATTTCAAAGTCGAACACATTCTTTTGTTTTGCAAATGCGCGAAATAACTTTGTTAATCAAACGTAATTATCATTTATAAAGGAAGAGAAAACACATGGAAAATTATTATACATCAACCTTCTTTGGAAATTAACAAAAGTTTAAAACAATTTTCTGTATGGATTTTCTATCATTATTCGTAATTTATAATATCAACATTTTAGTAACACATCTACGTATCTTTTATTTTTGTATTTACCTTTTGCAATTACCGATTCACTATGCACTGCCTGTAAATTGTGTTTTGTTAAGAAGTTTATTTTAATTACTATGTTTCATTAATTGCATTCTCTGATTTGCGGTGAAGATGCATTTAAACTATCTTAATATTAAGCAATCGATTTTGGTGACACTTACCTAACTAACAATTAATTACTTGTCTCCAACGAACGCCTCATTACATTCATTCACAACGCGATAGTTTGCTTAGAAATCTGTTGTACAAAGAACCCATTACCATAATATACAGAATAGGTATTGTAAATGGGTAAATGAGCTTAATTTAAAATTAAACAAAATTTCACTTTTATTTATTTTATAAATATACAATTTTTCACTTTTATTGAATTAAAATTAAACAAGGAACTAACTGTTCAGGTATATATATGTACACTTAACATTTATAAATACTTGTATTTGCTTAAGTACCACATCAATACTGCTTTCAATAACATTGTGTGCAACTGAACACTCATTAGATTGAATGGAAAGAAGAACAAACATGAAAAAAATATGTTTAAAAATGCCAATTCACATGTAGATTCAGGCGCGTACACCAGAAAGTAGTAGATATTTAGGTATACTTAACCACAGCGCAAGCCACACTACCGTCAATACGCCACCGTAAAATATACACGGCACCATCACCAACTACTACATAAATATACTGCACGCCAACATAGAAATACGGTCACCTTGCTTTCTGGAACAACTTTCAACGACAGTCAATCGATGTTGTGTCATACGTACAGGCTCGGGGTCCATTGCAGATAGATGCTTCTTCTTACTTTATGTTTGATTTATTAATTATTAATTTCCTTATTAATATTTAATATTTTAACCGAAGAACGCTTTTATTTAGTTAGTTAGGACCATGAGGTTACTGTAGGAAAACACAACATGAACGAAGTGAGTGAAATATTTGGTAGCTAGTACCTACTGATGCTGGTGCAGCGTATATTTCACATGTTACATGATTGCAAGCGTGGTTTGCGCTGGTGTTAAGTATACTAATTACTGACAGTAGGTAAAGATGGTATTTGGCATCAGAATTAAATTTTTTCAATAACAGAATGGCTTGAATATCGGTATTAATATGATTACCGCTTTGATATGCAATGGATTAATTCTGCTTTTGGCGAACAATGAAAATAAATAATTAATTAATTAATTATAATTATCAACTTGGACAGTAAGATTAGTTTTGTCGTTTAGCCTTTTAACTTTTTGCTAGCGAAAATGTGAAAATTAATATTTACTTTTTCTTTAGAATATCCTTTGAAAATTGTATACGCGCCTGATTAAGCTCAAGGAGTCAAAAGTTTCAACAGAAGCAAACTTTTGACAGGTTTCTACCTATAATGCCACCTAAATACATGTGACTTCTATGACATAATTGCTGCCTTGAAAAGCATTGTAGCTTTGGCTTAAAGGTGTTTCCAATATTTGTACGAAATATATACACGGTGTCCCGAAAGTGCCGAAAAATAATACCTAGGAATACATTTTAAAAATGAAAGAAATATAATACACATAATGCTTTTAGTTGTTGTATTTATCTGTTAAAAAGACTAAAAAGGTGGTAATTTATCATATAGTTACAATAATATGTATCTATAAGGAACCCAATGGAGCAGTTTATGGGACCCCGAGATAAAAGTGTTCAGTCTCTCAGAGTCTCTGAAAGCGAGACTCTAGTCTCCGTCTCTCATCGAGTCTCTCTGG